GCAGCGGGTGTGGCAGCAGCAGGGGCACTCGCAGCAGCGGCCACACCGAGGCCAACAGGAGACGAGGCAGCAAGCGACCCAACGTCACCGACATCATCAAGCACTTCGTCGAGTACTTCCTCTGGGCAGGCAACAAACACAGCAAGAGGAGAAGCAGCGCCAGCAACAAACACAGCAGGACAAGGAACAGCCCAAGCAACAAACACAGCAAGAGGAGGAACAGCCCCAGCAACAGACACAGCAGGAGGAACAGCGCCAGCAACAGACACAGCAGGAGGAACAGCCACAGGCAGAGGCCCACACAGATGGTGGCACAGCTGGTATGGTCAGCCCAAAACGGCCCAGATTGCTTCTGGACAGACCTTCGCCTTCGACACCAAGTCGGTCAAGTCAGTCCCTTTACCCCCCGGGGTTTGCCGGTGTCAACAGGGTCCATGGTGACATCGAGATGGAGGAGCTCTCGAGCGCAGGCCTTTGGGCCGATGAAGTTGGCCCGCTGCTGGAGGAGGAGAGCCACGCGTTCGAGGACGAGCCAGGCCACGACTTAGCCGAGGACCGGCCACCTTCGGTCACAGCTGAGGAGCTGGAAGCCCTCGACATGGCAGCCGACAAGAAAGAGGTGGGGCGCCTACTCAGCATGGGTGTGATGAGGGCACCCAAGCCGGGAGAAAGCCTTCAGGGCTACGGCTTCTTGTCAACAAAAGTGGTGAGAGATTGGCGGAAGCGACCCACCTGGGTGAGAAGAAGCAGGCTGGTGGCGAGAGAGTTCAAGACTTGGGAACCATGGCAGGCAGAGCTCTTCGCTCCAAGCTCTAGCCTTGGAGTGATACACGCCCTGATGGTCACAGCACAGGCCGAGGGCCTGGAGATCGTCACGATCGACGTCAAGGACGCCTACCTCAACGTGAAGCAGGGAGCCCCGGTGGTGATCGAAGTTGACGAGAGACTTGTCGGGGGAACTCAGCGGAGAATGGTGCCCTACATCCTCGAGTACCTCCTTCCAGGACAGAGGAATGCAGCCAGCGAGTGGTTCAGCTTCATGGTTGGCTTGCTTGGCGAGGATGGAAGGCTTTGCAAAGGAGCCTACGCTCTTTCGTGGAAACAACAATGACCTAACAAAGATGGTCTTGCATGCTGACGACGGCATCCTCGCCTCCACCAAGGCAAGCCGGGAGAAGATCGTGGAGCAGCTCGGGAAGAGGGTGGTTGTTCAGGTCAGCGAGCCCCTCTCCTTCGACCAAGGGATAGAGTTCTTAAAGAGGAGGTATGTCATCGACGAGCACGGCATCATCATGTACCCCTCCACAAAGTACCTGGACACCCTCTTGGCAGCGCTGGGGAATGTGAAGGAAAGGGACAGCCCAGCATGTGCACTCTTCCTGGAGGCGGACGGCAGCGACGTGCTGGGAGTGGACGAGGCCAAGCTCTACAGGGAATGCGTGGGACGACTGCTGTACGTGTCACACACGCGTTGTGACATTCAGTTTGCCGTGTGCTGCCTGGCAAGCTGCATGGCCGAGCCCACGGTCCAGGCAATGAAGAACCTCAAGAGAGTTGCTGGGTACCTCAAGCGGGTGCCTACCATCGGCTTCAGGCTCAAGGCCCTCACCGCCAACGCGTGCGTCGACTACGAGGGCAGTGGAACAGCGCAACCTGGAGACCGAGTGTGCCTGGAAAGTGTTACGGACGCAGACTGGGCCGGGAGCAAGAAGGACCGGCGGAGCCGCTCCTCAGTGCAGGTGTACCTGTCAGGGTCCCTCCTGACAAGTTACGTGAGGACACAGAAGAACATCTCCCTCTCCAGCGGAGAGTCAGAGTTCATCTCCCTTGTGAGTGGAGCAGGAGAGGCCCTCTTCATCTCCGAGTGCCTCGAGTTCATGACCAGCAGCAAGTACACCATCGAGACGGTGCTGAGGACAGACTCGGCCGCAGCACGTGGAATCAGCCAGCGACAGGGGGTGGGGCGTGTTCGCCACCTGTCGTGCGGACTCCTATGGGTCCAGGCGGGGATCAAAGACAAGCTGTTCCGGGCATCCCCGATCACGGGGGCAAGGAACCCAAGCGACCTGGGAACAAAGCCCTTGTCAGGGGCAAAAGTGAAAGAGCTCCTGTGCCGAGCAGGGGCAGTGACAGACAGCGGCGCTCCCTACGGCGAGGACGAGCTCCAGGATGCGAACTACAAGGCCTCAGTGAGGATGGTGGCGAAAAGTGGAGGACTCAATGGGCCCGCCGTGAAGCGCATCATGCCCATCCTCATGCTGATGATGCAAGTCGTGACCACTGAAGGCCATGGGTTTGAGGGCTTGGGCGTGGCTATGGCGATCACCATGGCCGAGAATGTGGTGACCGAGGCCGTGAGCTTTGTGGTTGCAGTTTTGACAGTGCTTGTGGTTTTCACAGGCATCCCTGCAGGCTTTTGGCTTTTGAGCAAGAAAGTGATGCAGTGGGTTTTTAAGAAGTGGAGGCCAAAGCAATTTGTGGAGGCCGGAGTTCAGACCGTGGAGCGCTGGAGGCAAGATGATACAAGATGGGCCGAGGAATACACAAGGCGAAACAGAGAGCTCGAGGAAGCTCTAAGGGACAGATGCAAAGAAGTGAACGAGTGCTCAAGAGCACTTGTACAAGTGAGGCGCGACCTTCGCGCCAGCGAGGCCGAGGTGATGCGACTTAGGAGCACCAGTGGTGCCGAAGACATCTGTATAGCAACAAGTAGGGGCCAGGTGTATCACAAGCCTGGCTGCGGCGCTCTCAGATCCAGCAACAGTGTGAAGAAGTACCAGGCCTGCGGAATTTGCTTTAGGGGATAAAGCTGGTACTGGGAGTGCTTCTGCAAAACGTTTCTTTTTACGGCACAGCCCATGAAGAAAAGAGTGGACTGTGCCGAGGCGGGGTGTAACATGCATGTGCACTCCCGCATATGTAAAGCATTGCTTCAGCAAGCGACTTGTGCAGCCCTCAGTGGTTCTTGGAAAACGGTTTCAAAACTAACTGCCACAGCCTGTCTG